ATTCGACGCAGTTTTTCACCGCCTCGTTCACGAGCCAGCAGGTTAGCGGCGCACCGATTTTGATGATTCCAGCTTGAGCGCATTTATTTATGTGTGCTTGTATGGTTTGTGGCTTGCAGACTGAAAATTTCATGTTTTAAGGTTTTAAGGCTTTCATACTCTCGTTTTGACCAGTTTTTTAAAGTTTGATCGTCATCTGAAGAGTCTCATTAATACTTTCAGGGAAGAAGAAATTCATAGTCGTTTCTTCAATATGACTTCGTCACCGCGACGAACGTTCATATTATTTTATGCAAAAGATGGAAGTTCCATGTTGAAATCGCAGAATATGGACGAACTATTACGTATTGATGCCATATTAAGGAAACAAATTGAGTTGATCGATGAAAGAAGCGGAGAGAAGATTTGTGAACCGTTATGTCGCATCAATAGACCATTTTTCATTTTTTGGGTGCGTTCATCAATGTGATGATATGATACGTGATGATTCCTTCGATGATGTGATTGATACGTGGGGATTTCATCGATCACTCGATATAATTATCAGAGATCAGCTCAATTGAGATCAGATAAGACAAGATATGACAAGAAGTAAGATAAAGTAACTCCATAATGAAAACTCAGCGATGGAAGCATGAGCAATTGAACGAAAATCAAGCGAAGCACATTATTCCACTGATTGTGAATTTACTATCCAAAAAAAGTTGAAACAATAGTGTACATGACACTTTTGCTTCGCAGACGCTTGTTTCAGCAATCAGAAATGAAACGTTGCTTGGTTGAGAGCCCTTTAGCCAGCCTCAAGCAATCTTTAAGTATTCGAGTTGAAAGAACTCACTGGTTCACTCGAAAATCTTTAACTATGCTCATTTCTAAAAGTTATGTGAAAATCAATGTTCGTATCTGCGTTACGATATATTGAACACATCCCTCAGATACATCCAGTCGCTAGTAATATGAGCACAAAATCTGGTCATAATGATCAATGTACATTGATAGATTAATCGTTATTTGATGTTCACAGTTACACTGCAGTCATCATTCAATGATACTCATAATTACTCAGGTTTCAGGATGAACTCAAAAAAGCACAGAGCAACATCATCGGAAATGAATCGGATTCAGATTTTGTTTTCGACTTTCCAACAGCCATCCTTTTCGGACATGAAGTTTTCGTTGGAATGAATATGTTCGGAGTGCGTACTGCAGGTGAACACCCTTAAATTTTCCATCATTACAATTCGACTGCTCGATTATTGGATTACATAGTTTTTCATTCACTAATTAATCAGTCACCGAATCAAAAAGTGATTCGCTTCTAACAGTTTGAGTGTTGCTATGTGTATTTGACAATTGAACGCACTGAATTCGTTAATGTTAAATTTGCAGAAAATCATTTTCGAGTAGCTGCATCAAAACAGTCGTCAAATATTGGGATATTGTTTTTAAACATGCAGAAGCGAATTTATAAGCGTGTAATCTTTTTTTATGATCAAATGATGAATTGATTCAGTTCGGGATGAATGGAGAGAGAACATTTGGATAATTCAGATGAAATGTTCGCGAATCGCTCGACAATCACGCATGTGACGACAGTGGTTCTGTGGTACTTCTCGCAAGAAAGTAATCCCCGAATCAAGGGAATCATCGATGAGACTGCGCTGGAGATGTTCGAGATGAGTAAGGCCCGCAACGCATCTTCACTGATACAGTTCGATATATTCGGCGATCATATTGCCAATAAAGAAATGCTGCGCGGTGCATTGGAGGTAATTATCTTCGCTTCATTAATCCCTCATTACATCTTATCATTATCAACATGAGGTCGTTGTTGGCGATAAATTGAGGCGTTGAGGTTGACTGCTGTTCGTCTGTGACTCTGGACCGCTTGATCAGCTGAATCAGCATAACTTTGTTTTGAGACTACCTGGCTGGTAATACCCTATCAGTTGAGAATCTCGAATAATCCAATCTCACTGTATGATGGTATCTCTCGCAAATTCATTGAGCCAGAGTGAGGAGTCACCGTTTTCTCGCAGCCACACTAATTTTCCAGACTTTCTGTGAATCACACGGAATTACTATATCGTATTGCCTTAATGAGACAAATTTTAAAAATTCCTGCAAAAATAATGAATAAAAAGATCTTTTGAAGGCGACTAGACTAATGCTGACTGGTTTCTTCTTGCTGCTCATATTTGTATTTACTGTTGTTTGGCATAAAATGTCGCTGAGCAGAAATCTACCGAAAGTTGTGTTTGCGACCATTTTGTCACCATTCTTGGCCGCAGCAACTGCGTTTGGGATTCTATCGTGGCTGCGTTTCACATTCTATGCGATCATGTGCGTCACACCATTTCTCATCCTTGGAATTGGTAATCATTCACTTCGCATTCGCATCTCTTTGATAATCTCTACTAAACAATCTCAGTGCATCCTTCAAGACGGCAAAAACGAGAATTGTGCACGAAACAATTCACACGTTCCAATCATTAGGCGACGATGACGCTTTTTAATTTCGAATATTAGTATGTCAATGAAATGGATTATTCGTATCTAACAATTTCATGCTAAAACTTTTCTATGAGAGTAGTTCCGCTTGCAGTGGGAAATTCTCGGCTAAGGTGAATGACTCGACTCATCAGATAAAAAATAAAACTAACCTTTGGATGAGTGAGAGTGAAAAAGAATTCTCGAAGAAATTCCAACAGAAACTACACATGAATATGAAGAAAAATTCAAGTGAGTTGATGAAAATCAAAAAAGCAATCAAAATGAATAACGTTATCACAATTATAAACAGGTGTTGATGATGCCTTCATAATGCTCCAATCGTGGACACAGTATCGCACAATCAGATGCAAAAAGGAGCGTTTAGCGAAAGTTTTCATTGAGATAGGTCCATCAATTAGCATCACATCGTTGACGAATTGCATCGCATTCGGTATCGGCTATTTCACACCTACACCTCAGGTGATCGTTGTTTATCTCAATTACACATTCAATATTCTACAATAAATTCTGTGAATTCATTATTGTTCATGTGATGCGTGATAAAATATCACTATGAATCTGTTTAATTCTTCCTGAAAATTTCCTGAATTCGAAAACGAACAAGCACAAAGTTGGTGGAATTGATTGAGGTTTTCAAGAATGCGGAATATTTTGGTTGAATGGATTTGTTTCAGCTGATCATTTGGTGTTTTGCAGATGAGTATGTTCTGTTTGTGCACCTCGGTGGCATGCTTCCTCGATTATATTCTAACATTCACATTGTTTGCACCGATTCTCTTGTTGAGTGACGACGAGGCGAGTAACAAATATATGAGTGCCGAGAAATTATCATTTCAACAACAGGTTTCTTGCATTTTATTTTATTATAACTCTCTTTTGCGTTCGCAGTTTGTTCACATCTTACACATTGCCGATAATATAATGTAATTACATTTGAAAGGAGAATTTTTTAGCTTGCAAAACACCTGAATATTTTCGGAATTTTTGTTCCAATGTTAGACGATCAAACTGTGAAATGATGAGAGCATGAGGGAAAGTGAGATTTGAACAAACGCAAGAGTTGAATTGAACTCGATAAATTAGCTCAATGCAAAACAATTATAAAAGCTTCTTCTTCGCAATTCAATACAATAATGGAAACACAATTCTTCCATTGAATNAAAGATAACAGCATCGTCTAGGAATGCAATAAATAAACACTCATTGCGTTTGCAGTTGTCTGATTGTTGCGATAGTTTTCTTAAGTCATAGGGAAGCTTTTCGAAATTTAATCTTATAAGTCATTGAAATTTGCTGAAAAATAAAATACCAACTCAACGAATGAGTAAGAAAAGGAATCATCTGAAAATTGCTATAAAAATATCAAGCATTTGAAAAGAACTGGTCTTGAAAGTGAGGAATTTATTGTGAAACTGTGTAATCTCCACACAACCGAATGATTTTATTTCGATGAATGGAAATTCGTAACTAATCAAATGATTTTATTATAGATTCATAAGAAGTGGATTTCCATCTATAGTCGGTTTGTCTGTTCGATATACGGCAAATTGAGTGCTCTCTTGATATTAGTCCTACTGTATTGTGTATGCACAATTGGAGTGTTGAATATGAAGTCAACGTTTGAACCGGCGAAAGCGTTTCCTTCAGATTCACCACTTTCCACATCACTTGAGGGAATCAGGCAAGTGCTTTTGCAATGGTGTGCTCATATTAGCAACGTGATCTGCGTTGATCTACCACAAGAAAATTAAAGGAAAAAACCAGCATTTACATGCAATTTCAATGCATCCACAACATATTGCACATTTGTCTTCAATAATAAAAGTTTTGCTATTCTGCAATATTTTATTGCAAAACAAAACCCTTCCCGTTCCGTTCCAATGAATTTATGCCTTACCCAAAATTTTTAACTTGAAGATATTTCAGATCAGTTTTCAACGAATTTTTCCCCCTTCAAATAATTGTCAACAGTCCACCGAACATATCGGACAGTGCTGAGGTAAGTGTTGACAGTCCATTGCTTTAAGACTGACTACCTGCATGCACTTGAAACAAATTTCGCTGTTGTTGCGTTAATGGCACGAGGAGTGATGCAAATACATTTAAATCGCCTGTTTGTGATAATAACAGCTAAAGAAATGAAAATACAGTATTTATGATCAGTTTTTACATTCAAGATCATAGTTCGTTCAGAAAGCTCTTCTTCAATCTCGATTGTTCGTGAACCGACTTTGTTAGCACTAGCTATGATGAGAATAAGAGTGCTTGTTGTTAGCAAGGTGCTCTTTCAGTACGAAGACTTCTACAAGTTGGTCACATCACTGGAATCCGTAAAGAACAGCTATGGACGTGAACGAACAATTCTCTTTCTGAAAGCCTACGAGAAATTCGACCGTAGAACGTTCGAGGTGTTGAATGCAATTGGCCTGGCCGGTGAGACACAATATCGTCCCTCATACGATCACTTAGCATTCTTTCTGGGCCAAATAAACAATCCAAAAACCATTCAAATTGTGCGTGATGAAAGGTTTGTTATGTGTTCATTTCTGCGAAAAATTCTCGACACATCGGAATTTTGATCGTTAGATTATAGGAATTTTATTATTGCTTGAAATCATTTACCTAATTGCTCGTGGGTTTCCCAAAGAAAATTTCCTCCTCTTCATTTCTTTTATGAAAACCAGAGGTATTTATTCATAACATTAAGGTATAACAATACTTTATGCAGTATTATATGGTGGCACTGCTACAACTTGATACTTTATAATAGACCCTACGATCCAAACTTTATGCTAGGAACGTAATTCCACTAGAAAAGTTAAACCGTTACAGAGTAGATGTTTGAAAAGTTTGTGGGCCGAAATCATCAATATTATTTGAGTGATTTCAGAGGAAAGGTGAACCTGAAAGCGTTTCATATGACAATGATAGCACATAACATGTCCGAATGGTCAAGTCGAGCCGCATACGTTGATCGATGTCGCACAGTACTAACCAGATATCCGCAATTTAATGCCACCGTTTTCGATGGTACTTTTAAACGTTCACCCGCATATACCAACCTTTATATTGTAGATATGATTGGAATGATTCACTGCTAATCATATCCGAAAATTTTCAGCTGATTCAGCATTGCTTGATCTGATATTAACGGCAAAATTTGATCTGATTGGGTCGATCGCAGTTACGGTGCTTTGTATGGCTATTGTATGCTTGGTGTTCGTTTCCAGCAAGCTTGGAGTCCTAATTGTTACATTCACTATATCTTCAATCTGCTTCAGTAAGTTCTAATGCCAAATCGTTGATTTATCATATAAGTATTCCACTGCTTCAGTGGTATTATTGAAACGCGAAACTCAGCCATCGGATAGAGTAAATTCTGAATGATGCTCAGTGCGATCGTACGAAGTGGCATCAAATGATGATCAAAGCAACTGAGCTGATCAAAACCTTTCTATATACATAATAACCATCTGAAACACGACTCAGAATCTGACTTCTTCCGCTATATGAGAGGATTTTCTTAAATAACTTGTATGAGAGTTCTGAGTTTGTGCGATATGAGAGGATATATAATAGGACGTTCGAATTACCGTTTTGAATGCATTTATCCAATCTGAAATGGTAAATGGGCTGATGAATAGGACGTTCAAGAATGAATCTGCTCATAATACCGCATCACTATGATACCAACTTCTTGCGAAAGCTAAAATTTGCTGCGTTTTTTCAGCACTGGTCGGTGCGTTGTCGTGGTGGGGTGCTGATATGGATCCGGTGACAATGGTTGATGTGCTCATAGCGACTGGATTCAGTGTCGACTATACGGCACATATCGCGTATAAATTCTGTAAAGCAAGTGGCAAAGTTCGCGAACGAATTGAGCAGAGTTTCAGTGAAATGTGTGAACCGATGTTACAGGTTTGATTGTGCTTCTCGATGAATTTCTTGTAGATAGGCCTCTATTTTTAGGCGTATGAAACGGACAAACGAATTGGTATGGTAATAGATAAATTTTCAGGCAGGTACATCCACTGCACTCTGTATGCTGCCGCTAATGTTCGTGCCAACTTATGCGATATTGGTGTTCGCTAAAACAGTCTTTTTGGTGGTCGGATTGGGTTTACTACATGGTTTATTCATACTGCCGGTTTTATTGGTCACCGTCACCAGGCATACAACAGTGGGCAATACGGATGAATCCACTCAAAACGAGACCACTCGATGTCAAGATCTCAAAGCGACGAAAGAGCCTTTAATCTTGTAAATATTACTCGCAAAACTGCAAACAGCTCGCCGAATGAGAATGATGTAAAAAATAAATTTTATCGGGTACTATATCAGCAGCACTGAAACACACCATAACAAAACCAGCACGAAAGTAATCTTCAGTGAATCACTTTTCATCAGCTTTTGGAGCTGTACACCTGACCCTTCGAAGGTATAAAATTTCCGCGGTTTACAGAAAACTACGAAATCTCTTGCTGAAACAGGACCAATTAACCCAATTTTAATGCCCTATCCTATTGAAGCGCGAAACTGAAAGAAAACAATGTGTCTGTGGAAAGTAAACCATACTGCATCAAATTCTTCACGTTTGAAGAGTTAAACCATCTCAACCTGCAGGAAAAGTTTTTAGCGGAATACTAATCAACTGTTCATAATTTGATAATTCTAAAAACGGCCTTCATCAAATACATAATCGGTAATTAAGAACGAGCGAGAAATCAAATTTCAACGATGATATGAATAAATATACATGAGATAGTAATATTACAGTGAAAGATCATGATAAGTGCGTTTGATCGCACGTATAACGCATTTAAAGCAAATCGAGTAAGTAAGTGATAAAGCTGAACACAGTCAAATTAACAACGTTCGAAAACTTTGTAGAGATCGTACAGGTCAACCAGTCGACGGACACGCGATTTCAGACTTTCCGGTGGTACAAAGTTGGTTTTGAGAGCCGGAAAGAGGAGATCACTGAAGACACGTTTCCACGGCAAACAGTCGGCATCCAGACCGGACAGTTGCTCACCTTTGCAGTACTCTTCATGTACACAAAAGAAGTTAGCCAATGCCCAGCATATACCCGTAAAACACGTCTGCTCCTGCAAAATTATTCTTCTGCTAGAAATCGCCGCTTCCATTAATCACGTCTTTCTTCTTTGAAAAAATTCAACAAGCTGTCATTTCTATGGGCAAAAATTTTCGTCAAAAACGAATCACCTGCTCCCAGTCGACATCGTACACGAGACTCGAGATCAGTGTTGGTAAACCTTCCAACTGAGGCACATAACCGTCAATCAACGACGGTATCGTTTCAACTGCTCCATCCGATGTGATTCGTAAACAGAAGTAATCGTTCAACATCTCACGATTCTCCACCAAGAAATCAGCATATTTTTTGGCATTCTCTTCATTCTCCTCTTCGTTACCAATCAAAAATAATTCAGCTATCGGAGCACTTTCGGACAATTTGAACGATCCAAAATTGCCAAATGATAGCACCAACAACTGGAACGCAATCAAATTATTTAACATTTCAAATTTTCCTACACGCACTTCCCCAGATTCCTCACTCCACCGTGGGATTTGTTAATTTTAAATGAGACTAGAATGAACCAATAAAATATACCAAAGAAACGATTGAAACAACACAGACCTGATAGAAGAAATTCATAAAAATTTGCTTCGTATCAATCAAATAGATGGACGTTGAATGCTGAATCAGAGATCGGTTTTGATCAATTGTACCAATGAATGTGTGCTCTTTGAAGAGATTTCGTAGCGACAGCGAAGCATTATCACAAATTTCCTTCCGCATCGCTTTCAATGAATCAAAATCAAATTCACGCCATTCTGGATCCATGATGCCCTCAGATGCACTGCAGTTCGGTTATAACACATCAAAGTTATTGCAATAAACGATTATCTTAGAGGCTTTAAATGCTACTGCAATCGAAATTCAAAAAAAAAAAAAGGATAAATAGGACGACACCAATAAATCTCTTTGCCAAGCTAGTTGACAGTTTTTTTTCTAAATCAACAATGTTTTCATAGAAACCAGTGGTACAGATCAGTGAACGCTCAACATATCACATATGATTGGCTAAACTCGAGACCAAACCAAAAAATTTACATTGAATCGTTCAAAACGCCATCGGCCGCCACCATTTCCACTTGTGACAGAGACTGACTCTCACTTTTGATTGTGAACTCCTCCAGACGACGTTCATTCACATCTGTACGTACCAACTGCAAATCAGCACAATTACGACTCTGTGTCTCATCTCAATTCGCTCGAAATCTAATACTATGAAAACAGAATTCAACAATCGAATTCAAAACCCTCAAAACCACATAAAACCAAACCAAAACCGAAACCAAAAACCAATACAAAACCGAACTTAAAGCCCAGTAATCAACTATGATCTGATCGAACGTTTCCTTAAGTGATACTGATCAACGATGAAAGCTTCCAAAGTATGCTGCAAAGTTTAGAAAATTGAAAAGACTTCACCTGATGCGCATAAACTTTTTTCGTTGCTGGTGATGACGATGCGTTAGCGGGTTGCGATTGGTTGTTTTCGAAAGAAGAAGTGGAGCCAGATGATAACGGTGCTCTGGAAGAAGGTGGTGGTGGCCCTCCGAGGTGTTCAGGAACCTCGGCTGGATAGCGCTTTTTCGACGACGACGATGCGGTTGAGGACATAGTTGGGAATTCGATAAAAGTAGGACCATCATAGACCGCTGAAGATGTGCCCATATAAGGCGTTATCGTTGGAACTGAACAACTGTCAGACGAATTCTGTATGAGGCTTTCGATATACTGAAACATAAAATTTCTTAGAGTACATCCCGAACGCAATGAATAATTCATTCACTGAATTAAGAATATTTTAAAAATTTCACATATTCAAACTATGGAAACATTTTCATTCAGTTCAACCGTGCACTTCATATGGCGTTAGTGAAAATGAAACTCAATGCCTGTGCTTCAATCGTTCACATAAATCAAAAATTTGCAATCTATAAACAGAATCTGATGCCATCAATAAAGACAGCCTCGGCAACAAACGCAATCGACTGGATATTGTTGCCACTAAACTGTGATTCAGAAAATGAAAACATAAAAAGAGAGATATATCTCTGAAATTTACATCCTGAATTGATGCGATGATGGCATCTTGTTCAAGGAAGAAGACAGTAGCCTTTGTTGGATGCACATTTACGTCGATTCGATTCGGAGCAATCTGTAAGGCAGGCGATTTATAGTTGAGTATGACTGAGTAAAGATTATGCTTATGAATACAGAGTATAAATCACAAAAGGGCATACATCTGCCTCGTTTTCATTGCTTCTGAAAAGAGTAAATGAAAAAAGAATTATTCGATGACGATAAGCACAACCAACCTGTAACGATAACATAATGAATGTTGAAAATGTATTTTGTGCAGCAAACACGACGTCCAATGCTTGTTTCAATTGTGCACATTCAACACTTCGATTGTTGATAAACAAGTAGAAAATCTTTTGACGATTCTTAAAGCAAATCACCACTCGTTTAGCAAATATCGGAAAGAAGACGCAAAATAAGATTCCATTTCGGAACATATTTCCAAATCACAGCAATGAAACGAAATGCAGAGTTGAAAAGGACGATTGAAATGTGAAAATCGCAAACGAAACGAATAGATAGAAAAGCATTATCTACTTGTTTAGATTGAAGACTCGGTGCCGTACACGATGCACTCGGTCGAGCCATACAACCTTTCAGCGAATAGAACAGTTTTTCATCTTCGCGATCCAGAGTTATCAAATTCTTAAAAACGAATCGAATACTCAACGAAAGATAACCAAACAACGTCCTACTAAAATATATATTTTGCAATAATGAAGAAAAAATGTCCAAAGGTAACAAATCAGACGAGCTGTGCGAAGGATAACGAATCAAACGAATCCAATAAGGTTAGCTGGATGAAGCCTCCACCTTTGCCGCATTGCTTCCATGAAGCGATGCAATCACCTTGAACTGATCCCCGTCACCTGTCGTACGAAAATCGTTCCCACTGCCACACCGTCTCATCGTGAACGAAACAGACCTAAGAGAATCCCACTTTCATAAAAACCTATTTTGAGGTGCTGATTTCAGAGTAGATTATGTCAAAGTTTTCTGGATATTTTCTTCCATGAAGGAGAATTCCCTCGAAATTTTGCTGCACACTTTAAATTCGTACTCGTCACGGATAATCAATCAACGATTCATGTTGAATGAGAGGTAAAAATATAAAAGAATTTCAAATTATACTCAACAATGGATTTTAATGAATAGCAATTTGCTGCGATTTTGAGTAATTTCGAAAAATGTGCACGAGACAAACTGCACTAACGGATTATGAATAGCGTATCTGATGACCACATCCGCGATTCGATTCATCTCGTCGGCTGGATATTTGAGTGCACGACGTCGACACGGCGTATTGTAGAAGAGCTCTTCTGCGGTTACGACCGTTCCCTTGAGGCCCGCCGACGAACGTATATCACCCGTTATATGGCCATCTGACAATAAGCACGGAATGTTACGTTACGTGCGTTTTTAGAATATATTTGAATGAAAAGCATCAAATGAACATAAAATACATTCGGATAA